ATCGAAACAAGTAGTGACCATTCTGTCATGGACACAAGAGGCTTTTTTTTTCTTTTTTTAACAACTCAGTGAAGCAAGACATGAAACTCAATTACATAAAGAAAGAGACTATGCGTCTGCTGTATTTTGCGTGTGATATATGAACTGTAATCCATATATCAAGAACCCCTCATTAGATATTCAAGATGGATCACACATGGAAAGAGAAATATACTTTTAACCTAGTAAGGGGACCTTATACAGGTGGAAAGTCTGTGATTCATGGCCTGAGATAGTTTTTCAGAGCTAATTAAATGCTACTGGTTCAATTACTTAAAACCTGATCATATATTATTGCTAGCTGAAAAGAAGTTAATGATGGCAAGACATTTTTCTTTCTGTAGAAGATGTGACCTGAGCTAAGAAATGATTTATTGTTCGTCATCACAAGAAAAACTCAGAATGTATCCCATTATTCTTTCTTGCTTATTAGTAGGAAAATGATTGCCCTCTATCTGAACACATTTCTTCAATGGAGAGAGAATTTCTGCACAGCTGTGCTGGATAGTTTAGGGGGTAAAATGTGTTCTAGTGAACCACCAGCAGCCAGATGTCACTGCCATTGCACGCCCTGAGAGACAGTGAATTGAAGAAGGTTCCAGTGGTGTCATGTAAAGGAGCTTTTGGGTGATTTCAGTAACTTAGTGGGTCAGATGAACTCTGTGTGAAGTCTTTCTTTGTCAAGGCTCTATGCAGAGAGCTCTCTTGCACTGCAGAGTTCAGTTCAGTCCAGTGGGGGGTAATTTTGTAGTTAAAGGGCATTCTGCTGTACGTTGGTCCTTAATTTCATGTCATTTCCTGATGGATAGCTGGAAATGCAAGTGGCATGCTGCGTGGGTAAAGGCATGAGTGAACTCTTAACAGCTTGCTAGAAAATCTATGATTTTGGAATTTGGGAGGGGGAAGGTTGGTTCTTCTGTTTCCTAAAAGTGCCCAACACCAACTGTGAAGAAATAGATGTTGGCTTATTGTCTTCAGATCTGGGTGCTCTGCTGTTCATGTTTAGCTAGTGGCTAGGTGAGCTATTGAAATGTTACTGTAAGACCAACTACTAATTTTTACCGCAATCTCTTACTCAGGGGGAATTTATAAAAGGCACCTTTAAAAGCACCATTCATAGTGCATTATTATGAGCAGCAAGACAAAACTAAAAATCAGTCCTACATGACTTTTTAAAGGCACTTTGAGTGCCCAAAGTTACAAGCAAGCATTTTATGATGGGATCTTCTGAAATACCTACCTATATTTCCAACTTTATAAATACATATGTATATATGTATTTTAAGTCTGGCTCTAGCTTCCTTGCCAGGAAGAAACAGTCTGCTGTATAAAATCTGTGCTTGAACTACTCTTGACAGATGTAAATGTAGCAGTGAAATACTCATAATGCAAACCTACATTAATTCAAGCTTTCTTGGCTCTGACACAGTCTCAAGTGCAGATCCATTTTCATGTGCAACTTCCTAAAGTGTAGAACTTTCCCATGTTTCTAAATGAAAAGCATTTCTTCTTTGAGAAGAAAAGCAAGTTGGGTAAGTAGTAAGCATTTTTGTTACAGAAGATGGCTACCTGCAAAATTTAATGGGTAAAGAGTTATCAGACACCAGAAGTGTTTGTGCCTGTTACACTGAGGTACTTAATGGAAGCCAACAAAGGGTGCGTTGTAGTTCGTGTTCTCTGAGAGCTCCCAGTGTTAAGTTTAAACAAGTCTTTTTGTCCTTCCCTTTGAAGTTTTGTCCTTCCCTTTGACAGTCTGACAGTGTTTATTTCTGTAATTACTGCTGATGTTGAAAACACGGAAGTATTGAACAACTTCATCTTTCTTGCTGATATTTCTCATTTTACTACTATTCTGCTTAGTTTTGAATCTTAAAATGCCCAGGACCAGAGTCCAACTGAAGTGAGCCATCCTGTATCCTCCCTTTAGTAATGCATGAGCTGATTAAACTTTGATTCTTTAGGGAGGGGGCAGGATGTCAGAGTATCATGGAGTTTGAACTGTATTTCTTCTGTTATGTGTCTTGTTTTCTAATAAGACACTCCATTATACAATTCTGCAGTCACGAATGGCTGTCGCCACCATTGGGCGTTGTGTGTGTGTGTGTAATGGGCAGCTGGGCTGGGATTCTGGGACTCAAGCCAGCATTCAGACTTAAAAATAAATTGTCTAGTCTTTTAATTGGAATACTATACTTTTAAATTGTATTTGGAATTGCACAAGTCCTGGGTGGGGGTTCTAAGGTGTTTGTTGTGCTTCAGTTCGACAACAGACAACAACTAAAACTGCACGATTGCTCAGGCTCTTGTTAAACCTTTCTCAGTGTTAATAAAGCATCGTGGTGGTGAAGGATGTCACCATCCTGTGTTTCCCTTCTGCATGTGAATGCAAGTTTCTCTGAGAGCTGATGCTTTGAGGACTTGGTTGTTTCTTTTCTTTTTAGTCTGGGAGAGCATCTACCTTCTACAATAATGCCTTGCTGATGGAACCCCAGCAAGTTTTGTTTGCTTTTACACCATTCTCATCTCAAACCTTTGAGACTTTCTGAGTCTGGCATTCACCCCTCAATAACCTGCTTGCTTCAGCTTTTGGGGAGCTTTAGTTAAACTGTGAAACTGTTCCTCAGCTAAGTGTGTTGACATTTCTTTGTGTGATCTGATGTTGCACAGTGAGGACCTGGTTATAATTGTCACACGGAGAGGAAAAATTGTGCTCAGAGAGTGGTTATCAACAGATGGAGTCAGGGAGAGGGTTGAAGCTTCAGTCATCAGCAGCCCTGTAGATTTTTAGTAAGAACTGAATAGTAGAAGGGGGTATCTGGGTTGAGTCCTGTTATTGCAGACACAGTTAAAAATGCGGATATGAGTCCCGTAGACTTCTGCCCAAGAAAGCCTTGCACACTGTAACCTGAGCAATTACCTGGGAGCAATAGCAGAAACATCTCTAGAGAAGCGTGGAGGCAAAATAACCAGTCTGTTAATGGCTGTCCTCAAGAGGCAGCAGCACCAGAAAACAACTGTAGTTCATTGCACAGAGAAATATGGTTTGGTGACCTGAGTGGATGTAGATGGGAATTTCTGTCAGCTAGAATGGAGGTGGTGAGTGTTTTGAAGCTCATTTGGGTCTCAGGAAACACCTCAGCTTGATCAATCATTTAGAAAGGGGTAAAAACCCTTAATGAGACCTCAGTATGAGAGGATAATATGAACATAAATTAGAGAACAAAGTCCTTAGTTCCATTATTTATAGAAAAATTGTGTTCCCTATTGCCTCCTGCTTGGCATTCAGTTCCTCGTGCAAGTATGTGGCACCCAGGCCATCAGCTGCCACCATGGCCGATCAGTAGGGAAGAGCCATGGAGCTGTTGACTGCTGAGCCCAGCGGAGGAGGTGACTACTGGAGTCTTTGGTGATTGTCTTCTTCCTCAGCCTACAAGTTCTTTTTCCAGGAACCAGTAGGAATTTACAATCTCCAATACTGTTGTCAAATTTGTTCAGTATTGGCCTGTTTGGTTCAAGAAGGTTGTGGTGGGGAGGGTTGGCCAGCAGATCAATAGCACGATTGAACAACTTTGCAAATGGTATGCGCAGGAGTCATGCAGCTGTGGGGGAAGGCTGTCTTTACAGCAACTCTTTACGTTTTTATTTTCCTTTATTTATTTTCAGATATACAGTTACAGCATTTGTGAGATTTATGATCAGATAATGTCCTTCAGCAAAAAGATAGACCATCAGTGGGAGGAATCAACATTTGACCATTATTTAGGATTGTGGAAAAAGGGTGTTTTTCAGTGTTACTGCTATATTTTTGATGCATTTGGGAAAGTTTCCCCTTTCTCAATGGTTTCCTTGGTTGGTCTCTTTGCAGAGAAGCATTTTAGGTGGATCAACAGTTTTTTTTTAAAAACAAGGAAATATGATTGTGAAATAATTCTAAAGAAATGGGTTCCTTTAGATTTGATTGGCTGCTTGATTTTTTTTTTTTTTTCACTTCGATACAGATGAATGAACTCACTTGTGACACTAAAGGTCCTGTGCTGTGTTACTCATTCAGGATAGCTGTATGGACTCCCATATTTGCTATACACAAAGAAGGCAGAATGAAGGGTATAGTGGGGTTGGCTTTATTGTTCTGCCTTTGTTACACAAATAACTTGCAATGCTAAGTAGAGAAAATTTCCACCCCTTTTCGGGGCAGAAGTAAATCTAAGCCAGTTGTGATGTTTAAGCACCATTCACCCTTTATAGGATGATTACTTATCAGAAGCAAAGCTTGTAGGTATCTCCTTAGAGCCCATCAGCCACAATAATGCTGCAATAGATACAGTCTTCATCACAGGAAAAATACGTATATACCAAAAATTACCTTGGGCAGTTCACTGTGGTAATGGCAAAAGGGATGGAGAATTTCATTTTGTACTATGTTTTGTCTAAGGATGATGGTGAAAGAATTATGCCTCCTAATGCTCCTTTCAAAGATGACAGCGTTACACTTGCATTAAAGGGAGAGAAGTGAGATGAGCTGCGAGTGGTTAGATCTTGTGAAAAATGAAGTTTTAAATGTGTACTTCATTGTCTAAATGCTCACAGATTACTTTTCTCCCCATAATAACTATAGAAAATGTGTTGGCAGCATATCACAATTAATAATCCATACTCCTCTTTATGAGCTATAGGCACTGCAGAATTCCCCAGACATATTTATTACCCAGGTTTATAACCAAATTCAAGTCAGATCCTACATTGTGCCAAAAATTGAGCTGCAGTCATCTCACAGCAAATAATTCTATCTGCTTGACAGAAGAGTCTTAAATTCCTGATTTTTCCTGGAGTGAAATTAATCTGGTATTAATGTATTTTTCCTTCAATTGCCTGCAAAAGAATCTGTAATATTACAGTAGTGATTGTGCAGACAGTGGAAGGTATTGTACATATGTAGCATTATTGTAGGTTTTTCTGGTAATCTAAATTGTGTAAAATCCTTTTATGTTAATTGGGACAAGTTTTCTATCTAGGGTTATGTTGAATTTCTCTTTGAGTGTTTTTTCCACCTCTTCATCTTCAAGAGTTACGAATTCCACTAGATCCATATTTTCCTTGTAGTTGTATGTGGTCTCAGTGAGCGTCCACCCAATCAGCGCTCGAAAGCCATCGGTGGTCTGGAGGGTGCAGATGGACTTCTTTGTAAAGAGGGAATCTGGAGACGTCTGAAGGTACGTGCACTGGAAACGGAAATCTTCCACTGTCCGTGGCTCAAGGCTGAACTCACTCTTTCTTCTCCAGAAGATCAGAATTAGAGAAATTTTGATTGGGGATGTATTGTTTCCGTCTCATTTTCTCAAGGTACCAGGTGTCATTTTTTTCTGTGAAGCGAAAGACACCAGGAGCCTGGGGCTGGTCTTTCCCTGACACAAGCTCCATCGGTTGCCACATCTGGTAGGATACACCAAAGCCTCCATCAACAATATAGGCTTTGCCATCAATAATGACCTTCACAAGGAGATGGGTCATGATGGTGGCATAGGCATTTTGATGTGTATTGAACACATAGGCTCCCAGAAAGCTGGCGTCGTACCCCAGGCATTTCAGGACCCAACCCAACAGCTGGTTGTTTTCCATGCACCAGCCACCCCGCTTCTTCCGCACAATTTTGTTATAAACGTGCTCCAACTCCAAAGTAATTTTCTCCCCGCAGTGGATGCTGAGGTTTTCAAAGGGAACAGCACGGATGTGGTGCTGGAATATATCAGTTAACGTTTCCAAATCTTGTTTTTCAAGGGAACCTTTATAGCCAGTTCTCGCAAAATAATCTTCGAGGTTCATGTCTCCTGTAAAGGAAGGAAATGCATTTTGGTTTTGTTTCTTTACATCAATGATTTATGATGCTGTGAAAAACTGCCCAGGCTAATGCCAGCAGAGATGCTTTAATCTCCTAAACCTCATCAGAGCAGTTTTTAAAGGTAACAGGTATTCATATCAAATGGTTCCCTGAGCAAAGAAAAACAGTGAACGTGGGTTTGCTTTTTATCTTGGAGTCATCCCTGTGGCAAACAGCTGATGCGGTTTCAGCTTGATACGCGGTGGCCACGAAACGGGGATTTGCTGTATTTGCATTGGAACAGCGGGGTTAAGAAGACACGTTAAAGAGTGTTCAGGAGGGTTCATTAAAACCTTTCTAAATCCACTGTTCAGTGAAAGGAGTGTCGATGGGGGAAGCAGGGCCGCCTGCCAGTTGGCAGGAGGAGAATTTGAGCCAGGATTCCCATGTTCTTTTCTCGAGTCTGTCACTGATCTCTGTGACGGTACGTGAATTGCTCATTCGGTACACGTCGCTCTTTCACCGCTTACAAAAAGTGAAAATGATACTCCCTGCACATTTTGTAAAGTGTCAAGTTTTATTCAGATAATTATAACTGAAAAAAACCTCTGACCTTTGCAAGAGTCGCAGACCATTGAGTCTCTTGTCTGCTCTGAGTGTTACACAAACTCATTTTGGTGTTGCAATAATGAATCTGAGTGGAGGCGAGTGACCTAAAAGACAAAGAGCACATCTCTATTCCCTGCTGTGCCCTGCGTCTTGCAGGGTGGCCTCAACATGGACAGGAGCTGCTTTACATCTCCCTAGTCCTGGTCTTTCTCAAAACTCACTTTATTCCTTCCAGAGGAGGCACAACTAAAAAATTACCAAAGCCTCAACCAGTGCATCCCTGGTCTGTCCTGCCACCAGCAGTGCCCACCTCCTGCCCTGCTTTGGTAGGGCTCCTCAAGAACAAGATTACTGGATAAGGAACTACTCGACATATTGTCTGCCTTTTAATGTGGAAAGTCACTCACAGTGATCTGGCTTTCACAGTGGCCCATCACAGTCTGTTGGACACAGTTACGAGCTGGATGCTCTGTAGATATCTGATAGATACTGTTTGGAAAATATTCTGTAGATCGTCTGTTTGGGTATGGAGCTGGGCACAAAATGTTTTGAAGGCTTGAACCTTTGCAAAGAAAGCACTCAGCGTTTCAGCAGTCTGGAATTACTGCAAATATTGAGCTGCTTGACAACCCACAAAGCTACTTGGAAATCTTTTGTGCATACACTAAGCTGAGATTTAGACACGTAATATTAGTGACTCAGGAAGACTATTGTATTCAGATAAATTCAGCGGTGAACCGTTGAATGTTTACTGCAAACTAGAATTTCTCAAGATGATTTTCAGTGACAGATTCGTGATGTGCATAGGCACGGTAGAGAAACAGCTGTCCACAGTGAATGGAGAGCCCCATCAAAATCCGCTTGTTATCTTCTACAGAAAGGAATTTAGCTCCCAGTGATATTTAAGTGGATTGTTGGGGGATATTCTCTATGTAGTATTTGTTAAGTAGAACATGAGACTTTTCTTTTGATTTGCACTTTTTTCTTTTGATTTGCAGAATCCGGGTCTATCCGATCCTGCCCGCTCAAGTAGTGAATGCTAAATAGATAACAACAGCATAAAGCTGGTTCTCGAGTTTGTGTTATTTGTAATTTCTCTCTCCAGCTCCATAATATGATTGACCAGCATTAGATCTTGACTGCAGGAGATGAAAGCTACAGTTCTTTTGAATTGTGAGTACATCAGATGAAAAGCTAGATACTGAAAAGGTAGTCCCACAAAAGTGGCTACGACTTATGCAGAGAAAAACAGCAGAAGAAGAACTTTACAGAACTATTCTTAAATGTGCAAATTAAGGTGTTCATGCAAAAATACTCCTTAACAGGACTGTACACACTATCAGCAATTCCACTGTTACAATACATTATCTGTCTTACTTTTACTCCAATACATCAGCATATGGACTTTCTAAGGTATGCAAACCCCAGTTTGTAATTTCATTTTTTTTAAGTGGTTTTTAAAGGACTGTAATTTTATTCCCCTAAAGCGGAATCCATTGATTAGTAGATTGCTTTTTTTTTTGCTTCCTTTGCCTTTGCAATATTTTAAAATAAAGTTAAAAATCTAAAAGAGTAACTTCCAACAAGAGGTTGTCGTTCTAAATTTGTATCTATCATTGTATCTAAACAAAGGCATCTCTCTCATAGTTAAGAGAATCTCCTCCTGAGGAGCAGAAAGACAGAAGAATTGAAATTGCAGCATCATTGTTTTGCCCTCTTTAAAAGCCCATGTTTAGCAGGTGATATTTTAGCTCTGTATCTTTTATATAACATTTTTCCTGAAGACAATACTTTTTATGTTATTCCCCATATTTATGACCTTTACTGTCATAAATAAACCAAGTTTGTTGTTTGGGATTTTGGAAGATTTAAAGAAAATAAACTTACCCCTTGAAATAGCCTTATTTATTGATTGATGTATTCAGCTTCTGGGTTGTTTATTACTGGAGCAGCAGTCAGTAAAGCCAGGAGTAGATACAAATTGTGAGGGTCGTCTTCCTCTTTAAGCTCTGCTGGCCCTCACTTCTGAATCTTAAATACAGAGAAGGGGCAGAGTCCACCCAAAATGAGTGCACATTTTTGGACTTCAATGATCCGTGAGCAAATTAAACTTTGTTTCTTCTCTATTAGTAGATGTTTATGTTTTCCCCTGGTTAAGACCAGACTGAACTTGTTTTCTGTGTAAAATAATTACAGTAGACAGTTGCAAATGGTTCCGTAATTCTTTTTTTTTTTTTTAAATAAATTATTGTTATTTTGCAAGCCAGCACTTTGCAGTGGAGGATAGTCATCTGCTTCCTTATGGGTGTACTGAATTGCCAAGGTGTTGCAGGCTGCATTTTCCCAGGCTCCATGGAGGTACAAAGTGACCCTTCCTTGTTCACAAAGGAACTTCTTCAATCTGTTCAAAGCTTCCATTGCAGCAGGTAGTTATTTTGGAGCTGCCACACCTAACAAATACTGTGACAAATATTGATTTGCACAAAGTAATGCATTTCTTCTTTAAAACTTGGCCATCTGCATCTTCAAAGTGTTGCAGGGCTCTCCTTGTCAAGCGTGTCTCCTCTTCATTTGACAGAGGTGGAAAGTTGGGGGGTTTCTTGGGACGGCAAAGAGCACATTAGAGTGCATCTGGGTTTTAAACTTCTGAGTTTTAGGCACGTGAGGTTCCCTGTGAGTCTGTGTGGTTGACTAATACAAGCATGAAAGTCATTTCCTTGGCTGAGGACTGATGCTCTGCTGTAGCCCTCTTTCATGACACATTCTGTACAGTACCTACCACAGGTATCATCAAGGTAGAAGGCTTTTGTGTTCCATATTTCGTGCTGTGAAACCACACCAGTGGCATGTCCTAGCTTCCCAGTGCTTGATTTCACATCTGCAGTATTATTTATGGTAGCTTTTGTGCAAAATATTGTTTATCATAAATAAATACCTGTAATACTGTCATGCCTGCTTGACATCATGGGAAAAGTTTAGATTATAGTCTGCAAAGGTTGATCTAACTTTATGTCCATTTTTGATACAACAAGCCTGATTTTTAAGAACTGTTGAATTGTCTCAGCTTCTATTGATTTTGTTTCTATTTCAAAGACATAGAAAAATCAGACTCAGAAAAATTGGACACTCAAAATTAGAGAGGTTTTGGGGTTTTTTAAGTGCCCTTGCTTAAATAGCTCACTTTAGGTCAATTTCTGGTAAGGGAACAGGACTCGCGCCTTTCAATGTATTTCATCATAAGCTAATCAGCACCTAATAGTGGCTTGTTTTGAGAAAGTCTTAACCTTTCCTTTTTTTTATGAAGTCTTTGAAAGCCAAATTCAGCTCAATTTTCCATTTCAGACTGTTAAAGGAAGTGAATCATTTGTAAAACTCTGCTGAGAAAAAGGTTGGAAATAATACCAAAAAAGGTTAGAGGTCTTTTGTGAAAAATGGTAGCACAGCTTCTCCTTCTGTATCATTTTGGTCTCCTTTGCCACAAAATATTAGAAATAAAATGAGATCCAGAAAGGTGGAACAAAATGTTATGAAGTCAAAAAGCAATTTCCATATGAGCAAATTAGAGGTAGTAAGATGTCTCCTTTTCTAAGGAAGGAGAAGCTTAAGAAAAAATATGCAATCAGTATATGCAGTTAATTAGCAATGCACTTGAATTTACCAAGCTTTGTGTTCATATGACTAGTTCAACTTTAAAATCAGATTAATGTTACTAATGCTAATTTTAGAACTTATTATATTGGATATTTAAAGATTAATCTAGCACAGCATTAGAATTAGATCATGTCCACTAAATTAGGTGGCAAGCCACGAACATTTACGGGTATGAGTTTGTTCTCCAGCACTATATTGAATTTCTCTTTCAGTGTCTTCTCAACCTCTTCATCTGTAAGAGTTGTGGCCTGCATCAGGTCCATGTCATCCATGTAGTTATACTTCGTCTCAGAGAAGGTCCATCCAACTAAGGCATAAAGCCCTTCAGAGGTCTGGAGGCTGCAGATTGACTTCTTCCGAAGTATGGTATCTGGAGAGACTTGTAGGTATGAGTTTAGCTCCTGAAAATCCTTTATACTTCGTGGCTCGAGAGTGAATGTATATATTTTTCTAATATTCCCCAGTTCTGGAGTATCAGTGAAAGGGACACTTTGCTCGGGAATATAATGCTTCCTTTTGACTTTCTCAAAGTACCAGGTACCGTTGTCTTCTGTGAAGCGGAAGATGCCGGGGGTCTGAGGTTGATCCTTCCCAGAAATCAACATCAATGGCTGCCATGCCTGGTAGGCACCACCAAAACCGGCATCTACTATGTAGGAAATTCCCTTGATCGCCACCTTCAGTAAGATATGGTTTATCTCAGCACTGTACCCCTTCTCTGCTGGTTCATAACTGTTTCCTCCAA